TTATAATAACTGTTGTATGTTTATATATGTGTTCTCTCTCTATTTTAAAAAAATTATTATATTTAAATATATGAAAAAATATACGCGGTAATTTTCTTTTCACATGCAAATAATTTGAGAAATAAATTAATAAGTATGCTATACATGAACAGAGCGTATTCGCCAAGAAATCGATGTCTTAAATTATAAAAAGTATAGAATAATATTTATCGTTAAACAAATTTTATAATGTCACATCTGCGATTTATAAAGCGAAGAATAAGAATAAATGTTTCAAGTAAAACCATTATCAGGCATATTAATCATATGAAAGACGCTTAACAAATTCAAAGATAAAGATGTATAAGATAATGTGGATAAGATAGAAACTATGAAATACTTTGGACGTATTTCAATCACAAAATTACTGACCCGTAAAACATTTTTATGGTCTCAATTAATCATTATAACACAGTCAACAATGCAACTGAGAGACGGCGTTACGATGACATTTATAACTCACATTTACAAATCACGTAATGCCGCGCTTACGAGTACGAATTCCAATATTTAGCTATTATTTCTATTAATTGGTGATTTATTACAAGAAGAATACCGCGCTGTAACCATTACGGTCACAAATCAATTTAAATACCTGTTTCGTTTGCACGTGACCGGAGGTTAAATATATATAACTATTACCATAAAGTAAAATACCTTCTTTCTAAAGAATAAGAGATCGAATGCCAACGTATTAATTTCGTCATAGTTTACGATAGCTCTTTTTCTACCTCGCATTTTCATCGGCGCAACATGTAATATGTGTTGGTTAAAATCCTTTATGCAAGAAAAAAAAGCCATTTAGAAAATTTACGCACGCACTTCAGTCATGTGCCGTTGCACGTCTGAGGATCGCGCGCGATCAGCAAATTTCTCCTTTCTTATTATCTCATCTCGACCTGACGCGATCGCGACAACGGATACGCGTCTTGCGAGACGAAAGACGGGCCTTCCCTTCCCTCGCTCCCACCCCTGCCGCCTTGTTAACCGATGGGAACAGATTTCTGATTGCGTCTCCGCCGACTGCTGCCGCCGCTGAATGCTGCCTGCGCACGGTGCAACCGAGCACCTCCGGCGGATTTCGCAAGCGGATCATTTCCACGCCAAGCCCGTTATCCACCGTGTTACCGAAATGTAGCACAATACCACGTTAACGTTCTCCTTTGTTCGAATACGTGATGTGGCGACCGGCTTCGCGTTCGGGTCCCGCGCGAGCTCCTCTCGCGATGAATCCTATGACCTATCGAGATCTTCGCGGATCGCGACAAAAAACAGTTTTATGATCGCTCTCATCGATTACGCAAACCCGGTCACTTTCGTCGATTCCGTCCAGAAAGTCCGCGAAATTTATTCGGTACGATGTTACGTTAGTAGACGGATCCGAGCGGTATAATTTATGCGGAGATCTCTGATTATAAATAGAATGAAAATATGAGGAATTTCCGAGCGCGTCAATAAGTATATCTGATCAAAAGTATTGCAAATCCATGGAGATTTGTATCCTGGAGTATCTTATCTGGAAGATTCTACTTCAACAGAATAAAAAATTATTTCGACGAAACCAATTCATTCGTCAAATAAAAGAATTATAAGAAATCAATATCACTTTTAATGATTATTATGATAATTAAAGATTAACATGCATAAGTAAAATTGTTTCAGTTGTTCTATTAATAACCACCTTTTTTATACAAAATGTGTATTTACCAAGTTGAAACTTTAGCCATTAAATCAATATGCATACTAATTTTAATAATTTCGCAATTATTAATTTTATAAGCGAAAATCTCTCATTTTTACACGATTTTTAAACGATTAGCCAGCATTGTGTTGATTTCTCCACCATAGATGAGTCGATTTCGTCGAAATAATTTTAATTCACGGCTGTTGAAACAAAACTCTCCGGGAAGACCAAATACGATTCGTGATGGATTCGCAAAATTTCTTAGGGAAATACATTCGCCCCGACCAATTCTATCCAAGCTCGGCCAACGCCATTTAGAAAATTTACGCACGCACTTCAGTCATGTGCCGTTGCACGTCTGAGGATCGCGCGCGATCAGCAAATTTCTCCTTTCTTATTATCTCATCTCGACCTGACGCGATCGCGACAACGGATACGCGTCTTGCGAGACGAAAGACGGGCCTTCCCTTCCCTCGCTCCCACCCCTGCCGCCTTGTTAACCGATGGGAACAGATTTCTGATTGCGTCTCCGCCGACTGCTGCCGCCGCTGAATGCTGCCTGCGCACGGTGCAACCGAGCACCTCCGGCGGATTTCGCAAGCGGATCATTTCCACGCCAAGCCCGTTATCCACCGTGTTACCGAAATGTAGCACAATACCACGTTAACGTTCTCCTTTGTTCGAATACGTGATGTGGCGACCGGCTTCGCGTTCGGGTCCCGCGCGAGCTCCTCTCGCGATGAATCCTATGACCTATCGAGATCTTCGCGGATCGCGACAAAAAACAGTTTTATGATCGCTCTCATCGATTACGCAAACCCGGTCACTTTCGTCGATTCCGTCCAGAAAGTCCGCGAAATTTATTCGGTACGATGTTACGTTAGTAGACGGATCCGAGCGGTATAATTTATGCGGAGATCTCTGATTATAAATAGAATGAAAATATGAGGAATTTCCGAGCGCGTCAATAAGTATATCTGATCAAAAGTATTGCAAATCCATGGAGATTTGTATCCTGGAGTATGTTATCTGGAAGATTCTACTTCAACAGAATAAAAAATTATTTCGACGAAACCAATTCATTCGTCAAATAAAAGAATTATAAGAAATCAATATCACTTTTAATGATTATTATGATAATTAAAGATTAACATGCATAAGTAAAATTGTTTCAGTTGTTCTATTAATAACCACCTTTTTTATACAAAATGTGTATTTACCAAGTTGAAACTTTAGCCATTAAATCAATATGCATACTAATTTTAATAATTTCGCAATTATTAATTTTATAAGCGAAAATCTCTCATTTTTACACGATTTTTAAACGATTAGCCAGCATTGTGTTGATTTCTCCACCATAGATGAGTCGATTTCGTCGAAATAATTTTAATTCACGGCTGTTGAAACAAAACTCTCCGGGAAGACCAAATACGATTCGTGATGGATTCGCAAAATTTCTTAGGGAAATACATTCGCCCCGACCAATTCTATCCAAGCTCGGCCAACGCCGCGGTAAAGTTTCGCAAATCGGTCGTTTCGCATGCGAAACCGACTTACCGTGCTGTCGGATTGCAAAAGTTCTCTCCTCCTTCTTAGACAGAAGAGAGGACACAACCCGCGGGAGATTCCTGCCTTTGGAAATGTTAAATCATTGCCGCGTGTCACGTTGGGAAGAAATATCTTTCGCGGTTCAACTCTATGTATTGTATAAATTTAATTGCTTAGATTCTTCACTCGAGATGTCTTAAATCTCGTTATCGCAGATTGACGCTAGATAATCATAATTTGTTAATTCTTACCGTCTGACAGATATCCACTAAGTAAGAAGTCATTGACGCGATGTTTTTACAATGATATTCAATAAAATGTAACATTAATTAATTTTTAACGTTGTTCTGAATAAAAAATTTAAAGTAACAAATTCAGAAAATAATTGGCGTCATATTTCAAAAGCATTTTTACAACATTCGAAGATATTATTATTTAGCTTATATTATTAAGCAATTTTTTCAAAATATTTATAAAATGTAAGAAAAGAATAAGATTTCTGCATGTAAAATCAACCTTTTCAAACAGTTTAATTATTTTTTTTTTTTTTTATTGGGAGTATCTTCATGTAACAATTATTAAAATGATTTTTTAAAGAGAAAATTTTGAGAGAAATGTTTTTTATTGAGAGAAATTGTTTTTCATTTACCTGGAAGTTATATTTGCATGCATTTATTACTATCTTAATTAATATTCTCTCCATTCGAGTCATGCCTGCTATTTCTTAATATCTCGCATATACAGAAATTCATATCTTAAACCTAAATTCATTCTGGGTAATGGAATTATATAATTGCAAATGCATTCGCGCATTCCGGTACAGTGGACCCGGGTGATACATTCGAATCGAAAGTAACCAGATATCATATTCGATAAATCCTTCGCGCGCGTTTAATACTTTGATATTTTTATATGGAAAGATATTCATTCCGCGAGTATTGCTCTGAATAACGAAAGCACGCAATATATATCGGAGCAAGTCTTGGCTCGAAGGATTATGCGCGCATGAGAGAGCGCATTTGAAATTTCAAAACTTACCCGTGCATTCCCATGCGGTGCGCAACATTGATCGCCCATGCAGGACATTCCCGTCGACCAAGAAGGCACAGCGAGAAGAGAATTTTTCAACGCAACAAATAGCGGCTACCCTCGAGCGCACCCCGGGGGATCGGCGGGCGCATTAGGTTGATTTCCGCGTGTGTGTCAGTTATCCAACGGCGCGTGCATTACGTAAACTGACATTTTCGCGGCTAATAGGTGCGCGAGCGAATGCGCATGCGATTCCAGCGACCTCACCGCGCGACAGCCTCTCCCGCGAACGTTTCTTCAAAAATCTACCTCGATAAATCGGACGATACAACCGCGCAAAAGCGCGCCGTCCTTTGGGCTTTTCCCATTGATTTTCAATTATTGTTATCGTAATCACGCAATGGAAGATATCGGAATTATGAATCTATTTCGATGGGCATTTTAATAGATGGAATTTTAATGCGATTTTATGTTACATTACGCTTTGAATGCTGGCACAATTTTTATAAGGTTATTCTCCTTTTCGCAGAGTATATTGAATATTAAAAAGGAATAAGTGAAAGAGAATATGTATAAAGCTAAACTCTCGAATATAGATTGTATTAATTAAGCTAGTTACATTTTCTCTCGACGCGTACACTTTGCCACCCTCTTCGTACGCGGCGAAGAGAGGAGGAGCAATTGAAACTGTAAAACTCACCCACTCTCGATACGACCGCTAGAATCAGCAAGACGCTGTTCACGATTATCATCTTCCCTCCTGGTTGATGGATGGCCAGTGTAGAATCTCACAATCGGAACGCTGATTCTCGGAGGATAAAGAGCGATCGGTGAGCGGCGATGTTACTCTCCTCTCTGTACGCGCGACTCTCACACTTTCGTCTGAACTCCGGAACGAACGGAATTGGCGCGCTTTCTTTCGGCGCGAAGTTTAAACTCGCTCTCGGTCCTTATCCGCGTCCGAATTCGGTGACGACGCGAACTGATTTTCGAGCCGACAATCGTCACACTCTGAATCTCTATTTTTCTTTTTTTCTTCTTCTTCCTTCGAAGCGCGCCGAACGAGATGCGCCTACGAAAGCCGCAGTGCAGCGCCGTTATTGATAGAGCCGCGAATGCGCCATGGACGTTCGCAGAACATATGCTACGGTCACGAGGAGAGAAAGGTGACTGCGGGTATAACACAGGCGAGGCGTGCTCGATACCTCCTGTCTTCTTGGCATAGTCACCTTTCTAACTGAGCGCGGCAATAAAGAAGCGTACACTTTGCCACCCTCTTCGTACGCGGCGAAGAGAGGAGGAGCAATTGAAACTGTAAAACTCACCCACTCTCGATACGACCGCTAGAATCAGCAAGACGCTGTTCACGATTATCATCTTCCCTCCTGGTTGATGGATGGCCAGTGTAGAATCTCACAATCGGAACGCTGATTCTCGGAGGATAAAGAGCGATCGGTGAGCGGCGATGTTACTCTCCTCTCTGTACGCGCGACTCTCACACTTTCGTCTGAACTCCGGAACGAACGGAATTGGCGCGCTTTCTTTCGGCGCGAAGTTTAAACTCGCTCTCGGTCCTTATCCGCGTCCGAATTCGGTGACGACGCGAACTGATTTTCGAGCCGACAATCGTCACACTCTGAATCTCTAATTTTCTTTTTTTCTTCTTCTTCCTTCGAAGCGCGCCGAACGAGATGCGCCTACGAAAGCCGCAGTGCAGCGCCGTTATTGATAGAGCCGCGAATGCGCCATGGACGTTCGCAGAACATATGCTACGGTCACGAGGAGAGAAAGGTGACTGCGGGTATAACACAGGCGAGGCGTGCTCGATACCTCCTGTCTTCTTGGCATAGTCACCTTTCTAACTGAGCGCGGCAATAAAGAAGGGAGTCTTGGTGCCGCACCACCACCTCGTATCGCCCACTACCTCGGTCGGACGTTCACGATCACCAGGAATGGAGTGGGGACTGATCGGGTGGTGGACGCTCGAAATCCGCCTTCCTGGAATTTTTATTTTTCACTTCTCCCCGCCGCATTGTTAACCCTGAAACCGCATCCGATTTTTCCCGCGACAGACGGAAGAGAGGGTTACTCTCGGATGAGACTCGCTCGCCAATTGTCTAGTTATACTTTAATCGGAAGAAGACCTTTTACGTCCAAAAAAAAAGGCTTCCTTTTGTAAATATTTTTTTAAATACAGCTTAACATTCTAAGAGAGAGCTAATATTTATTGTGCTTTAAAATTAAAACAATCATTAAGCATATGAACTAGTAAGTACGATCAATAGACTAGTTTTTTTCATTTAAGAGATACAAAAATTTGTATATTTTAAACTTTTTGTCTATTAATAATGAAATAGTTATGTTAATTTATCATTACTGTAAATTTTCAAAATAATTTATTATTATTAGATTTCACAAATATTTGTACCAATAATTGTCCTCGTTTTTGTTCTTTTAATTTTTTTCATAATTTTTATCATTACAGGAAATTTACATGTAGTATTAAAAAAAAATTAATTGGTTATAATAATAATTATTATCTTCAAACACAGCATCTTTTTTATACAAAACAGTTTATTTCTTTTCCATATAAAATGACTAATACTATCTCTTATTATATATTACGTTATTTTATGCGCAGTACGATTATATGGAAAATGTTTAACCGATCGGAGAATCACTGCCTCATATCAAATAGGATCAAAATATCCGCGATCATTGCATAGAACTATTTCTTTTTGTACAGAGATTATGCTCGTCTTCAATGACCAGTCCAATGATGATTTAAAATATATTTGTATAGGATTGTTCGTCGAATCAAACGATAGATTATTATATATCAAGAGTTCTATATACATCTAGATACTAATTTACAAACATTTATCAATTGATATAAATCAAATACGATCGATAAAATAAACCAATTTCTGTAATTATAATGAACAATGATTACAATATTATATAAATAAAAATATAATACAGACTTTAATTAATTTGCGATCGCTATTGATTGCAATGCAGATGCTCCATAAAAAAAATTGCAGAAATATATTATAAAATATATAAAATAAGAATTATATAATTATATAATAATTATATATATGTATACATATATATATATAT